CTGAAACTGTAATGCAATACATACAAGGTATAATATAGCACAACTCATCGAATGAAACTCAACGTTGGGATTACACAATAGAAGTGATAAAAAAAATTTGATCGATCGATCTGTATTCATGTGATCTACGGATTCTGAGGAAGGAATATATACAAAGAAAGAGTGTTTAACAGAAAGGCAGATTCGGTGCACTCAAATCTAGACTGTTAACTCTCAGAATGCGGAGAGAACATGAACACAAAAAAAAAATTCTTGAATACTGATAAGTTGATACTGTAATTATTCATCTATACAGGTTGTTTACATTTAACCCCAACTCTGCTAGGGTAAGATTGACATATGCAGAATGGTTATCATCTCTGGGAGGATCGAATTCCTCTGCAATGGCTAAACATGCCTTGACTGAGGCAGTCTAAATGAGATCTACAAAAAGATACACTACAATCATAGTGACTGTGGAATTACTAATTCTTGGCTCATTACAAATTATAATGGGTGCTGGTGGTTTCCCACAGTCAGAATAAGTCTTCCTGGGCGGGAATCGAATCCCCAGAAACAAGGATCGGTTTTTTTCTTACTGGGGAAATAACAAACTCGGTGGAGTGGAGCCCCCCCCGGTTGAAAAAAATTAAGCTAAAACACGAAATTTGAGAAAGGGGAGAACGAATCTACTATCTAAAAAGCAAGCACAGGAGAAAAGAAATGAACAGGTGAACAATGTGATATTCTGAGTCGCACACAGTGAACGGGTATCAACATAAAAAAAATCACTTACAAACGTTAAAAAACGTGGAATTTACTGAAAAATGACTTTTACAATGCATGATTACTGTCAACTAGGATGGGTCAAAATTGAAACACAAGGGACAACAAAACACTCAAGTGGAACACTAACCACAGAAACGTCTTTCTGAGGCTTGTGGCTCGAAAGAGATGGCAAACTCGTTGAAAAGTAAAGTTTTTCAAATGTCCCCGGGAAGGAACGAATACTTGAAAAATGCCATCGAAAGGATAGTATTCAACTATCCTGATGCAAAATTGTGGCTGGGCCCAAAAGGAGTGACAGTATATTTAGTCCCTGCCCCTGGGCTACTTAATAAATAATTCACGGATTATAGGAATTATCGGAATTACATTTCGCGCACTTTAACAAATCTCGGAAAAGTGTGAGAACAAACCATTGCTAAAGGGGTGTATTGTTTTTCGTCAGAAAGGGATGTTGGTTGGGGGACTGATTATATTGCTTTGACGGCATGATACACTAAGTTAAATTAAAGTGACGGGGACATGATCTCAGGAAATTACTAAAGGGAAAAAAGGGCAAAAAAAAATGGGAAATGCACAAGCTTAAGGGGAAAAATTCCTGCAGAACAATGAAACAAAAAAAGGGTGTAAAAATAATCACGCAAAAAATAAAGTTACATGAAAAACAAGGTTTAGGTACAAAGAAATTCCTATAAATGTCTACCCGCAAATGTCTTTAAATGCAAGAAAAATGTCTCTAAAAAGAAAATTAAATGAAGTCTGTAGTAGTCGAGGTGGTGATGGTGATGAGGAGGTTGTCCTGCGCGGTGATGACGCCCCACTCACACTGTGTCGTGAAGAAATGCGCTTTTCGGTGAAATAATAACTGGCTTTATCGGTGGCGCTCAGCTACATCTTTTGACCAATTATGTGAGCAAAAAAAGTTTAGGACCGGTACAAGGGTGCCAAAAAGCCACAGGAGATGAGGTGGTGGTGGTGGTGGTGGGTAGAGTGGTGGTGGGGGGGGACTCTTGCTGGGCTCACTGGCGCGCCTCCACTCACTACCCCCGAAGGTGGTTGTAAGCCCCTCTATGCACGGAATGGTAAAATTCATCTTAGCACCCAACGGGGAGCCAAAGCGATTTTAAAGACAATACTTCAGGGAACTTGGTGGTTTCTCTCTCTCAGCGGGTTAGAAGCTGGGTTTTGGCTGACTGGCTTAACCACGAGAAGGGTGACTGGAAGACGGGAAAACGATGCACACAGCAGGGGGAGCAGGTGGATAAAGGGAGACAGGCTGGATGATAGGTGACGGGCTTTCACTTCCACAGTTTGGCTTACTGACTGGCTTAATTGCAAAATCCAGGTCAACCCCTCGGAGATTGAAGCAATTAGCACACGAACTAAGCCAGGAAGCTTGAAATGGCTGCAACAGGCTTGCAGGTTACAGGGTGGAGGTTGTGAGGGGAGCGAGTAGCTGGAGTGGGTGAGACGGTTCACCTTTGACCCGCCGGCTACTCAGTCTTATAACGTCTTGAAATACCCGTAAAAACTTAAATCCACGCTCCACACCGGTGCCACCATTTATCATGTGGGGTTCGACACGTGGATAGGGTAAAGTAATACTCACGTAGGCTGGAAGTATGTATAATTACGGATAATGTGGGGAGCGCCCAAACAGCCGTAACCTTGCCTCCTTGCTCCTCTCGTATGACTGACTGGCCGCCCACAGTACCCATATGTGAGGGGGTCTTTGAATACTGCTGTGGTCAGCACAATATGAATACAGACAGTGACTCAGGCAGAGACGGTTGGTAGTGAGTCATCTACTGGTACACTGGTTACTACTACTGAGAGTACAACACCTGAGTGGTGAGTGAGACAGATGTGCAACGCCTGGGTGGTGAGTGCGACACATGTACAACACCTGGGTGGTGAGTGAGGCATATGTACAACACCTGGGTGGTGACTGAGACTCATGTACAACACCTGGGTGGTGAGTGAGACACATGTACAACACCTAAGTGGTGAGACACATGTACAACACCTGGGTGGTGAGTGAGACACATGTACAACACCTGGGTGGTGAGTGCGACACAATTACAACCTGGGTGGTTAGTGAGACACATGTACAACCTGGGTGGTGAGTGCGACACATGTACAACCTGGGTGGTGAGTGCAACACATGTACAACCTGGGTGGTGAGTGCGACACATGTACAACCTGGGTGGTGAGTGCGACACATGTACAACCTGGGTGGTGAGTGAGACACATGTACAACACCTGGGTGGTGAGTGCGACACATGTACAACCTGGGTGGTGAGTGCGACACATGTACAACCTGGGTGGTGAGTGCGACACATGTACAACCTGGGTGGTGAGTGCGACACATGTACAACCTGGGTGGTGAGTGAGACACATGTACAACCTGGGTGGTGAGTGAGACTCATGTACAACACCTGGGTGGTGAGTGAGACACATGTACAACACCTGGTGGTGAGTGAGACACATGTACAACCTGGTGGTGAGTGCGACACATGTACAACCTGGTGGTGAGTGAGACCATGTACACCTGATGGTGAGTGAGACCATGTACAACCTGGTGGTGAGTGGACACATTACAACCGTGGTGGTGAGTGAGACACATGTACAACCTGGGTGGTGAGTGAGACACATGTACAACCTGGGTGGTGAGTGAGACACATGTACAACCTGGTTGGTGAGTGAGACACGTGTACAACCTGGGATGGTGAGACATACACTGGGGAGACACATGTACAACCTGGGTGGTGAGTGAGACACATGTACAACCTGGGTGGTGAGTGAGACACATGTACAACCTGGGTGGTGAGTGAGACACATGTACAACCTGGGTGGTGAGTGCGACACATGTACAACCTGGTTGGTGAGTGAGACACATGTACATCCTGGATGGTGAGTGAGACACATGTACAACCTGGGTGGTGAGTGCGACACATGTACAACCTGGTTGGTGAGTGAGACACATGTACATCCTGGATGGTGAGTGAGACACATGTACAACCTGGGTATCCCCAACATCAACTTATCACTTTGGGTATTCGATGAGACACCTTCTGAAGAGGCGAACACTGTCCAATGTATAACATAATCTCACACTGTTGCACATGAATTTTACCGTAACACTGTGGAAGTTGGTACAACACTGTGGAAGTTGGTATAACACTGTGGAAGTTGGTATAACACTGTGGAAGTTGGTATAACACTGTGGAAGTTGGTATAACACTGTGGAAGTTGGTACAACACTGTGGAAGTTGGTATAACACTGTGGAAGTTGGTACAACACTGTGGAAGTTGGTATAACACTGTGGAAGTTGGTATAACACTGTGGAAGTTGGTATAACACTGTGGAAGTTGGTATAACACTGTGGAAGTTGGTATAACACTGTGGAAGTTGGTATAACACTGTGGAAGTTGGTATAACACTGTGGAAGTTGGTATAACACTGTGGAAGTTGGTATAACACTGTGGAAGTTGGTATAACACTGTGGAAGTTGGTACAACACTGTGGAAGTTGGTACAACACTGTGGAAGTTGGTACAACACTGTGGAAGTTGGTACAACACTGTAGAAGTTGGTACAACACTGTGGAAGTTGGTACAACACTGTAGAAGTTGGTACAACACTGTGGAAGTTGGTACAACACTGTGGAAGTTGGTACAACACTGTGAAGTGGTACAACACTGTGGAATTGTACAACACTGTGGAAGTTGGTACAACACTGTGGAAGTTGGTACAACACTGTGGAAGTTGGTACAACACTGTAGAAGTTGGTACAACACTGTGGAAGTTGGTACAACACTGTGGAAGTTGGTACAACACTGTGGAAGTTGGTACAACACTGTGGAAGTTGGTATAACACCAGTGTGGGAGAAAGCTTTGTTTATAGTCACAGAACAATAGAATAAATCACCTTTATAAGACTGTGACCTTTTTGAGGACTCTTTTACTCTCAGCCTAACCAGAAACTTTCTTATTGGCTGTCTGCTCAAATAAGCTGTTGTTACTGGCGTCCCGCACGCCCACACAGTCAAGATAGCTTGGATGATCAGCCACTTGTGACAGCTACTGACATAGCTCTACGGCTTATTAAGATAAAAGCTTCGGAAATATTCACAATATCAATGATGCACGTCAATATGTGAGGCCGTAGAGTGATTGTGAGGACGTGTTATCCTGGTACACACCTCAATATATTAGGTTGTAATGGTACTTACCTTGGTACAGCGGGCGGGGGGGAGTGGATGGCCTCTGCTCTGACCACAGACTTCTGTGTTACCGGGTGTACCAGCGTTGTCTCTTGCCTGTTGTGGCTGTGAGAAGAAATGATATAGTTAGTGGCGTGCTGGGGGTGTAGGAGATGGTGTGGTGTGTGTGGGAGCGAGATGGTGTGGTGTAAGGTGTCGGATAGACATGTATTGGGGGTGTGGGAGAGAGATGGTGTCCTGTGGAGTGGGGCAGAAATGAGTGTTTGTGGAGTAAGTTTCGTGTACAGTGTATCCAAATAATTTTTTACAATGGTCTTGAGAGCACACAGGTGTTATGGGCACAAAAATAACACTATATAAGTTTAACTCGGGGTAACCTAAGAAAGTCAATGTGACCTATTTCTATTGTGGTCCCTGTCACTTCTCATGAGCAAATGTACACATGCCCACAGAAATGAACATCAACTATGAACATTTTAACATTAATGAACATTTTAATCATACAAGAAATCCCCATCCTCCCTTTCTGTGGCCACATTCATTAGATATTCTTTAGCTCTTTTCTTAAATTGATGTTGAGAAAGAAGATTCAATCATCTATTCATTCGTCCTAGAATCCCCTTGCTCTTCCTTCCTCCCTCCCTCCCTCACTTGGTCTCCCACCACTACCTCCCTCTCACCATCATTCAAGGCTGGCATCATTAACTAGAGCCTGGTGTCTGCACCGCGGCTTAACAACCAGCTGCTCCTCATAACACTCAGCTAACGATGAGGAGGTTGCAATCACTCTCATACTTGCATCCTCCTTCAACGGGGGAGGAGAGCGTTCATGCTTTTGATTCAGGGAATTAGAGCCGCCCTCCTCTTAGATCAAACCTAATTATCCCACATCTGTTTTCTGTGTCGGTTAATGGTCGTCAGGTAGCGACACCCTAGGGAAGTAGAATCCTGAATATTTCATCACCTGAGGTAGTGAAAAAGTGCATAACAAAGGAGACTTTACATGGGTTAGTGAATCCGGAGAGGTAATAACCCAGTATAACCTGGGAAAGCCGCCAAGCAGTGTGGCTTATTTTCATGACGTCCTTAGATCCTTAAACAAGATGCGACCCACAACAGTACACTAACACTGACGAACCTGCACGCTGAAGGGTAATGCTCAAAGCTCAATAAGGTGATCAATATTCGCCCTGCGACACTTTCTTCGTATACAATTACAAAGTTCCCTGGATTATGGGTGACAACCTGATCGGAAAGAATGAATCCCATAAAGCTGAATGTGTTTATGAGAGGGTAATTACCCAGGTATATTCACCAGCTATTGCCTATGCATTTCCTTTAAAGACATTTCTAGGACTCTCTTGAAAATTCCTCTAATTATTCAATAAAACTTTTAATAACATCCACCAACAGGTTTGATGTCCAATTTTCCTAAGCATTACTAAAGATTTTTTGACATTTCATAATTCATGTGGTATTTAATTATGTCTTATTTTTCATAACAGTAAATAATTTGTACTCATTTCTGATATTAAAGTTGAAAACAGGACGCCTGGATATAGGTGAGGGAACACAATCGCCTCCGCAGTTACAGTGACACATGGGAGGTCCCACAGAAACCTCTTTCATGCAGGGGGAGGTAGTGAAGAACACAATGTAGACACCGTGGGCAACCAACTGCAGGCTGGGGTACTAACTAGGGGTCCAGGTTACTTGAAGAACCATCCTCATGGGAGTCCAGGCCACCTGAAGAACCATCCTCCTGAGGGTCCAGGCCAACTGAAGAACCATCCTCCTGAGGGTCCAGGCCAACTGAAGAACCATCCTCCTGAGGGTCCAGGCCACCTGAAGAACCATCCTCCTGAAGGTCGAGGCCACCTGAAGAACCATCCTCCTGAGGGTCCAGGCCACCTGAAGAACCATCCTCTTGAGGGTCCAGGCCACCTGAAGAACCATCCTCCTGAGGGTCCAGGCCAACTGAAGAACCATCCTCCTGAGGGTCCAGGTCACCTGAAGAACCATCCTCCTGAGGGTCCAGGCCACCTGAAGAACCATCCTCCTGAGGGTCCAGGCCACCTGAAGAACTATCCTCCTGGGGGTCCTGGAGTATACCTGGAGAGGGTTTCGGGGGTCAATGCCCCAACGGCCCGGCCCGAGACCAGGCCTCGTGGTGGATCAGGGTCTGATTAACCAGGCTATAACTGTTGGCCGCACGCAAACTAACGTAAGAACGACAGCCCGGCAGATCAGGTACTGACTTTAGGTGTCTGTCCAGTGCCTTCTTGAAGACAGTCAGGGGCCTATCCTGGGAGGCAGTTGAATAGTCTTGGGCCCCTGACACTTACTGTGTTCTCTCTCAGTGTACTCGTGGCGCCCCTGCTTTTCACTGGGAGAATGTTGCATCTCCTGCCGAGTCTTTTGCTTTCATAGGGAGTGATTTTCGTGTGCAAGTTTGATACTAATCACTCTAGGATTTTCCAAGTGTATATTATCATGTCTCTCTCTCGCCTGCGTTCCAGGGAATACAAATCAAGGGACTTCAATCGTTCCCAGTAATTTAGGTGCTTTATCGTACTTATGTGTGCCGTGAAAGTTTTTTGTACACTCTCCAGGCCAGCAATTTCGCCTGCCTTGAAGGGGGCAGTTAGTGTACAGCAGTATTCCAACCCAGAGAGAACAAGCAATCTGAAAAGAATCATCATGGGCTTGGCGTCCCTAGTTTTGAAGGTTCTCATTATCCATCCTATCATTTATTTAGTGGATGTGGTAGATACATTGTTGTGGTCTTTTAAGGCGAGATCCTCTGACATTATCACTCCCAAGTCCTTCACATTACTTTTTCGCTCTATTGTATGGTTAGAATTTGTATGCCCTGATACACTTTTAATTTCCTCAAGTTTTCCACTTCTGAATAGTTGAAATTTCTCTTCATTGAAGTTCATATTGTTCTGAGTGGCCCATTTGAAGATTTGGTTGATGTCCCCTTAGAGATTTGCGGTGTCTTCGATGGAGGGCACTGTCATGGCAATTCGGGTGTCAGCCACAAAGACACGGAGGTATGGCTTACATCTCTATGTCAGATATGAGGATGAGGAATAGGATGGGAGCGAGTACTGTGCCTTGTGGAACAGAGCTTTTCACCGTAGCTGCCTTAGACTTTACTCTGTTTACTATTACTCTTTGCGTTCTATTTGTTAGTAAGTTATAGATCCATTTACCGACTTTTCCTTTTATTCCTTTATCACGCATTTTGTGTGCTATTACACCGTGGTCGCACTTGTCGAAGGCTTTTTCCAAGTCTGTGTATACTACAGCTAATTTTGTTTATCCTCTATAGCGGGGATTCTCAACTTTTCCTCCATCATTAACCCCCTCGGCTTGATGTATTTCTTCAATTGCCCCCTTACTTCCATACAAAAAAATTATCGCCATCATAAAGGGGCAGAAAAACAAGGTCAGAAAAAAAAATTATTTAGGTTTTGCACAAAAATAGCAATATACATTCGTATCACCAAAAAATAAAAAAAAATAAAACATTCTTTTCTAACACACACACACACACACCATACATACATAGCTTTAAGACGAGGTATGACAAAGCTCTGGAAGCAAACAGAAAGAGGACCTAGTAGTGATCAGTGAAGAGGCGGGGCCAGGAGCTGAGTTTCAACCCCTGCAACCACAATTAGGTGAATACACACACATTTTACAAAATGAAATTTAATTGAATTATTATTCAATTATCAGGTGCATCAAATATTTACCCCTTGCCATGTAATTTTTTTACCCCAAGGGGTAAATTTATCACTGGTTGAGAATCACTGCTCTATAGCATCCAGGACCTTGTCACAGTGGTCCAATAGCTGTGGCAGGCAGGAGCGCCCTGCTCTAACTCTGTGTTGCCCTGGGTTGTGTAACTGACCTTGCTTCTTAGAACCCTTTCAAAAATTTTTATGATATGGGATGTTAGTGCTATCGGTCTGTAGTTCTTTGTAATTGCTTTACTGCCATCTTTGAAGAGTGGGGCTATGTCTGTTGTTTTTAGTGAGTGTGAGATGATCCCTGTGTCCATGCTCCCTCTCCATAGAATGCTGAAGGTACGTGACAGGGGTTTCTTGTAGTTCTTGATGAACACAAAGTTCCATGAGTCTGGGCTGGGGCAGATTGCATGGGCATGTCATTTATTGCCTTTTCAAAGTCTTATGGTGTTAGGGTAATATCATAGATTTTTGAGATGACCATATTTTGGGTCTCAGTCATAAAGAATTCATTTAGATTGTCGACCTCTAGTCCGGGTAACGGCTCACTGAACACCGAGTCGTATTGGGACTTTAGTATCTCACTCATTTCTTTGCTGTCATCTGTGAATGTCCCATCTTGCCTAAGCAGCGGCCCAATACTGGATGTTGTTTCACCCTTAGATTTGGCATAAGAAGTATTTTTTTTATTTCCTTTATGGCTTTTAGTTCTTCCTGAGATTCTTGTCTCCTGTAAGATTCCTTAAGCTTAAGTTCGATATTTGCTATTTCTCTGACCAGTGCCTCCCTTCGTATTTCAGATACATTGGCCCCTCTCAGCAGCTCTGTGATTCTTCGCCTTTGTCTGTACATGGAGTATCTCTCTCTTTCTAGTTTACATCTTCTCTCTTAATGGAATGTGCCTTGAGCAGACTTCAAGTGCCACAGAGTTATTTTGCTCTAGGCAAAAGTTCAGATCCATGTTGTTTAGGATATCTTCCCAGCTTGTTTCACTTAGGACATGGTTAACGTGTTCCCATTGTATGTTTTTGTTACTGAAGTTGAATTTTGTGAAGACACCCTCATGACTGCTCACATTTTGCTGGTCAGGAGCCCTGTGCATACATGTCTTTACCTCTATTATGTTGTGATCTGAATGTATTGTCTTTGATGCGGTTATATTACGGATCAGATCGTCGTTGTTAGTGAAGATGAGGTCCAGCATATTTTCTAGTCTTGTACGCTCGAAAAATTTGCTGGTTTAGAGTGAATTTGGCCCAGAGATTTAATAGCTCGCGTGTGTGTGAATTTTCATCTGAGCTGCCTCCTGGGGTGATCTCTGCTAGAATATTATTTGCTACACTCCTC